GAACACATAGCCTACCTCATGCTAACCCTGTCCTGACTGCTGACAGGAGCCCAAGGAAGGTGATGTGGGAGCCTCAGACCTGTGGGAGTCCCCTGAGACCCACAAGGTAGCCTTGGAATGAAGACCCACATTGTTCTGGATGGATCATGTACTCAGATACTCAGGTGCCTCTCTTGGGGTGGTGAGCCCTGTCATCTCCCCCACTTCCTGTGTCATTTCTGGTAGGAGGGCCTTCCTTCCTCTGCTCGCATGCTCACCCTCAAGCGTTCCACCTTCAGACTGGAGCATGGGGAGCTGCAGAGGAAGCTGAGGCATCTGGATCTTTCCTTTTGGCTTGATTTATTAGAAACAAACTAATACAAGAGCTTAGAGCAAGGCACCAGGCCACAGAGGGAGCTTGAAAAACATATTCGTCACAGCAGTAATCACTAATACATGTTAATGTGTCTACTCTGGGCCAGATCTGGGTAGCCTCTAGATAAATAAAATGGGACTCCTGCTCTCAAGAGGGTCACCAGGGAGAGAAGACCACCCATGACAGCACAAGATGGAGGTTTCTTCGGCACTGGGTACTTGGTGTGCAGGGGCTTAGAGTCAGGAGCTGGGAAGGAGCCTCAAAGAAACTCTTTGCCGCAAGTCTGGAAAGATGTGTTTCCCGGGCAGGGAATTAGGGTTGCCATTCTTTTACACCAGGGAACAGCATCAGACACAGGGAACAGCATGGGCACTGGCACAGACACTGGGGACTGGTGACTCATTCAGTTAGAGATCAAGGTCAGCTTGGAGCTGGTGGTGGATGTTAGATCAGGCAGGACCTCCTGGGCCACCACGTAGAGATTGGACTTTTCCTGGAGGCTCAGGGTGAGGATTTAGGGGTTTAATTCTAAGAGCTGCAGGAAGCCATGGAGAGGTTTGAGCCTGGAGTGGCAGTGACTGAAGCCAGTTACCTTTTGCAAGGAGCCCTCAGGCCACCCTGGAGAGGAGGAATTGTGAGGGGGTAAGATCAGAGTCAGTGAGACCAGGAGGAGCTACTGCAGTCATCCAGGCCTGTGTCGTGGGGAGGGGGCCTGAGCCGGGCCGTGGCATTGGGACTACCCAGTAGAGGACCGATGCAGGAAGATCCAAGAGGCCCCAGAGGGAGGGCTCTGAGGCTGCTGTGAGCCATCTGCTGACATTTCTCTTTTTCATCCCACATTTTTATGCTCGGGGGCCTGTGGAGCCTTGATTGCTAACATAGCAATGTGGAAACATTTGGGTACAGCCCCCTCCAGCCCCAGGGCAGAGCAGATAAGAGCTGCGAGCCAGCCAGAGCCAGTGTCACATCGTCTCTCTAGCAAGGACTTACTTAGGTCTCCCTTTCCTGGTCTCTGTCTTTGGTTGTGGAGGAGGAAGGCTGTGAGCCATGGTGCTTCAGCCAGCACGAGCTCTTTGTTCATTTACTCACTCAGCAGCCACCTATTGGGCTAATGCTGTGCCCGGTGCAGGGAGACCTGGAGGGACACGGCAGACTGCCCCCTGCGCTTGGGGAGTCCCTAGTCCCCATAGCTACTGGAGACAGACCCAGGGACAGGTGGGTAGAACCAGCTTGGGGAGAGCTGTCCCTTAAGCGGGGAGCCCAGGAGCCCATGGGAGCTGAGGAGAGGTGCTCAACACAGTCTGGGAGGCCTAGGAAACTTCTGGAAGGAGGCCACCTACATTATATCTCAGTAAAGGCAGGAACTGGGTTGCCCCCTTCAACATGGGACAACATGGGATCCCTGGGCCCCCAACAATATGGTATGGAGTGACTTGGAAGCTGAGACCTGAAGGATCACCAGGTACAGCTCTGGCAAAGAGACAAGAAAGTGTTCTAGGAGGAGGGAACAGCTTGGGCAAAGGCTCGGAGGTGGCTTTGCAGAAATCACCTGTTCAGAGTACCTGGGACCTTAAGGGTGAGCAGGATGGGGCAAGAGCTGAGGCTGGAGGCTGTATTTTGGGTCTAGGCCTCTGAGCTCATAAAAATAGCTCATTGTCTTTCACAAACTAGTCTGTGGTTTCCCTTCTCCCTTAAGTCCTTGCCAAGCCTGGAAATCCAGATTGAGTCACGGCTGGGAGGTGCGAGGTGAGGCTTGAGTTTGCAGGCAGGGCGAGCTGTGGGGTGGGAGGTGGAGGACGGTGCCCCAGTTCACACCGAGCCTGCCATTTGTCAGGGGGCATAGCCATCATTTGAAAGCTGCCTTCCTAGTGTGTGGTGCTCATGTTGGATGGCACGACTGGATCCGCAGGGATCCCGGCTGGAGCGAGACAGAGTTCTCCAGAGGAAGTTTGGGGGTATATCTCTTTGCTTTATTGGGTGTAGCATCAGTGGGATTCTGCAGGGATGATGTAAAATAAAAGCCAGGTGGCCAGCAGGCCCCTGGGTCAGCACCCCTCGTGCCGGGTGACCTGTAGGCGTAGGGCGTAAGGCCTGGGACCCTGCGTCCGTCCCCTTGCTGCCCAGTACGGCCGGCGGGTGGCCCAGCAGGCGAGGTACCGTCTGGCTGGATGGAGAGCCAAAGAGGTAATGCTAATGTCTTTTAAAATTAGAATGAAAATGTTTATTGCAGAGAGCAGAACCTGCGTCAGCGCGGAGTCCTGTGGGAAGGGGACTGCTTTATCGCAGCCTTTCGGCTTTATTTTTGCACATTCGCTCTTTACTTGCCGGTGGTGCTGTGTGACAGGCCCTTGGAGTGGGCTCAGGCTGCCGGGCTGGGGCTGGAAAGACGGCACTGCCGCCTGTGTCTGGACGCCCCTGCCCAGGGTAAGCGCCAGGACGTGCCATCGGTGGGGAGAACCTGTGGGCGTGAGAGCAGGAGGCTGTGACTGTGTATGTGTCCCTGTGCCCTTATATGTGTCCAGCCAGGTGTGTGTGGCGGGTTTGGGTCTCCGTGTGTCTTTTTCTGCGTGCATTACGGCTTTGCAGGGGCTGTCCACGTGCGATACTGGGTGTGACTCTTTGTCTGTGTGTGTGTCTTTCTGTGTTGTCCTTGTGCCTTTGGGAGGTGGTCATGGGTGTGGCGGGGTCTGGGTCTGGGCATGTTTCTCTGTGGCCCTGCGTGTCTTTTTCTATCTGTGCGTGGATGTGTGTGAGCATCTTGGAGGGGCACATGGGTGCGTGACTGTGGGTCTTTGTGGGTCTATGTGCATCCATACAGCCGTGTGTGTGCACATGTGAGTATGACCGTGTGTGTAATAGGAGTGTGTGAGTGTGTGAGCATGCATTTGAACACATGCTCATGTGTAGCGGAGAGTGTCTCGTGGGTGAGTATGTTGTGTGAGAGCGTGTTGTGTGCATGTTGAACATGAAGGCATGTTGCATGTGAGCACCCATTGCATGTGAGAGCGTAAGCCATGCTGTGTGTGCGTGCACGCATGTGAGAGAATGTAACATGTCGAGGGTGCATGTGTTGCATGTGAGAGCGTGTGTGGCACTCTCCCATCCTCTCCCGTTTGGAGTCCCTGGCAGAGCTGTCTTTGGGTAACTCAGCCTGTCACACACCTTCCTGGGTTCGAGAATACAGTGGGCCAGCACTGTTGACAGGCTGCCAGACTCCCACCTGGCCCCGACTCCAGTCAGAGACTCAGGAAACCTCCAGGTGCCTCTGAGGATGGCGCCGTTTTGAACCCACTCTGCTCCCACTGTGGTGTTGTTGAGCTTTGCCCCTGCAGCTTGGGCCATGTGAGCAATGGATGCTTTGTTTCTGGGTGCTGCTTTCTAAATATAAAGTTATTTTATGAAACAGAATGTGCTTTTTCAGGGCGTGCCTACCCCTGGCAATGAGAGCCCCTGGTTGACAGTTGTTGGTCTTGCCTGGGGGGAGGCTGGCGCCCTGGGCTTGGTTGCCCCGAGCTGGGTAGTGGGGGCTCCGGCCCTAGCCCTGGAGGTGATCAGAGCTTCCGCAGGGGCCACAGCAGCCCTGAGCCCTGCCACCCACAGGGCTCAACCTTCTATAATTGCTTCTCTAGGGCAGAAAACCCACCCCCTGAGGGAACCTGGTGGCCAGAGAGCTTCTCTACGGGACCAGAGGAACCACTTTTTAATCCCTGTCTCCCTCCAGCTCACCTCCTTGTCACTGGGATTTGTCTTGTGGTATCACCCTATGCAGGACAGGGTGGCTGGTATGAGAGAGCTGGATTTTACAGAGTAGAAACCAGGTACTGTGCAAAATTCAGTATAATCAGGAAGTAGTGCGAAATGTAATTCGGGAGCCTGGCTTCAAATGCTATGTGTGGCCTTGAGTGTGTTGGTCAGCTTCTCTGAGCCTCAGTCTTATCATCTGTAAATGGGAATTGTGCCCGACAGCCTCAGGGCTGTCTCTCAGTTGTTACCTTGGGGCCTTTCTTGAACACAGCAGTTTTACATGGGCTGACAGCCGGGTTCATTGTGTCCTACTTGCATTGTGATCATGGGCAAGTCATCCTGTCTGTGCCTGTTTTCTTACTTGTAAAATTGGGCTAACAATAGTACCTACTGCATGAGATGTTGTGAGGGTTAAATTTCTTACTTTACATAAAAGGTTAGATTAAGTGCTGTAGAGCATGAGCTATCATTGTTATTTCTGGAATGCCTGAACCCAGATTAAAATATCCCGTCAGCACACAATACCATCTTCTTTTTTTTAAAACACAACTTGTAACCCACTCTTTCTGCAGCTTTGCCCACTCTGTGCCAACAGGCAGCTGCTGGGTGCCAGGCATCTGACTGGGAGTGCCCAGGGCATCATGGCATGGGTTGTGGGGTGGGTATTCTGCATGGGTGGGCTGGGTCAAATGCTATGCTGTCTCTCCTCCAACGATTTGGCAAGGCGGGTACAGACTCGGTTAAGTCACTCTGGGCAGCAGCCAGGGGTGAGAGCCAACCGGCAAGAGAGCCACCTGGCAGTTCTCCCTGCCGGGGTGGATCCAGCAAGCTTGGGCTTGTGGTGGCTGTGGGCACCCTAAACTGTTTTGTGCACTTGTCAAAAGGCAACTGACATCTGAGCATTGGCGGCAGACAGCAGAGGGGAGAGCCGAGTACAGAGGGCTGTTTTCCCCCCGCCTGACACCGCATGGTGCCCTGAGCCCACCTGCCTTAAACCATGTCAGGGGCACACTGATGATGAAATACTCCATTTGGCTGGGCAAAGCCCTTCACGTGAGTAAGGCTGTGTCCTAAAACACTTTATGGGCATTATCTCATCTAGTGTATGTACACACCTTTTGAAGTAAGTCCTACTTATTTCTACTTTACAAAGGAAAAAGCTGAGGGCCGGAGATGTTTTGGAATCTTCCAGATCTGGGTAGAAATTCTGGTTCCTTCAGTTGCTCCGTGACTTCAGGCCAGTTACTTAACCTCTCTGAGCCTCCAATTCCCCACTTCTTAGGGTTGTAGCAAGGGTTCAAAGGAATATGTAGTTAAAATGTAGTTAAATGTAGTTTAAATGTAGTTAAAACATTTAGCCTGGCATCTGGCATGGTAAACGGTTTTTTAAGAAGGTTGTTGTTATTACTATGATTCTTATTTCATCTTTTTGCAAGGGAACATTCCTTGCCAGTTTAACAGAGATATCGAGAAGGTTCAAATTCGATGTCTTGAGGTCTGCAAGGAAGGGGGTATTTTTACGAGGAGGAAAACATTTTATTATTATTGGCAGCAGATAAGTTTGTAAGTTTCCCATCTAGTGGGGGACACTACTCTTATCTTCAGGGTCTTATCTGCTTGTGTGGGCGGAGCCTCTTTGTTTCACGGAAGAGAAACTCCCCAGGGTTTTTGCCCCCATGCTCATTTCTATAACCAGACTCATTCAGACGCTTTGAGCAAAAGGTGTCTGGTGTGTAGTAATTGCTCAACAAGTGCTCTTTGGATGGGTGGATGGATCATGCTCCTGAGTTTACTGCAGCTAAGGGAGTGATTGGATTCAGGGACAACGTGGCAGCTTCCCACAGAAGAGGGGGCCTGATCTAGGCACCTCCCCTTCAGAGATGCACACTTTGCAGAGCTGTGGGTGCATGGAACATTTCCTGGAGTTAATCGCTTAACTGTGATTGTGATGGCCAGAGGTAGGGTGATGGCAGAAAACTGAGACACTATCCCACACCTCAAAGACCAGGGAATGGGTTCGAGGCAGTGAATATGACCTTGACGGACAGGTAAGCATTGACTGTGGGGGGAATGTCATTCGTTCAGTGAATATTTTCTGTGCTCAGTGCCGGGATGCAGGGAGACGCCTTGTGGACTCAAGTGAAAGAGAAGAACTGATGATGTGTGAATCTCGAATAGACTTTTCAGGGATTATGTCACAGTGAGGTAGAATTTGGGGCCACTCTCTACTGTAATGGGCAGGACTCTTGTGTTTGTATGAGAGAAACTCACCTGGTGCCAGCTTAAATCAAAAAGGATTTTTATTGGCTCACATGACCTGAAAGTTCCAGGTTATCTGGCTTCAGGCATGGCTGTATCCTGCAGCTCAAATGTTATCTCATCCTACTCGTCTCCTAGCTCAGCTTTCCTCTGTGTGGGTGACTTTTGTTCTCAGCCAGGGTTCTCCCCTGACAGCTCTCTTTCACCAGCATGGCAACTCTCAGGGAAAGAAAGCCCCTTTTTCCTAGTAGCTCTAGCAAAAGTCCCAGGATTCACTCTACTTGGACCAGCTTGGATCCTTGCACTTGCCCAAGCTGTTCTGACCACCTGGAGTGCTCTCCTCCCTTCTGCGTATCCCAAACCTACCTGCCTTTCAAGTCCTGCTTGAGCTCCATAGCTTCTATCTATAGTCTTCTTCTCCTTTTGCCTTTATCGTTTTTTTGCATTTTTCTCTCTCTCGGAGCACCAATCATCTTTTTTCCTGCTTTGTATCTAATTCAGCTGCATCCTGGCTGCATTGTGTTCACATCAAGTAGGCCAGAATCCCTGACAGGCCAGTTTCATTTCTTACCTTTCTCTCTCCTGCCCCGTACATAATATAAATAACTTGAGAGATACCTAATAAGTGCTTGTTAGTGGATTTGGGGCATTAAGGATTTAATTTAGAAGCCAAATCCCAGGATGGCTCATGGGAGGTCATGGGTCAGCAGGGTCCAAAGGGAATCCCAGGACTCATCTTGCTGAACTGTTCATTTGTAATTGGCTCCCAAAGACTTGGGCCTCTCAGGAGGCCAGTGAGGAGATGGGAAAGGGGGTAGGGGCTCAGTTCAGAAGCTGGGCTTTCCCAGGTTCAAATCCCAGCTCTGTGCCCTTCTGGCTGTGTGACGTGGGACAAGTTGCTTCACCTCTCTGTGCTACTCGTTCCTTGTCTGTAAAATGAGATCATTCACACAGTGGGTTTAAGGAAAGGGCCTGGGACACAGCAAGCGCTCATTGACTGTTCACCATTATCATTACTACCGTGCTGTGTTCAGAGTCACCAGGTAGAGAGGGATTATAAACTCCATTCCTATTTACTAGAGGAGGAAATAGCAGCGCAGTGAGCTTCAGAGACACCCTCAAGATCACAGAATGGCTCCCCACCCCACTCACCTCGACTCCCATTTCAGCCCTTGATCTTCATGTTGGCTGTCCTTTTTGAGACCACGTGAGCTTGCAGCCCAGTGTGGCCCTCAGGGAATGTTGACTCCTCTTTAGAAGGAAGGGGTAGGGGTGGGGGGGCCATTTGTCTCACACAGAGGGTGAGCAGGACTCTGTCTTGGTGTTTCTCCTGGCTGGGTTTTTGCTGTCATGTCTTGAGACCTGCTCTCCTCTAAGTAGCCACCCTTGGTGATCTGCCCTGTGAGCGGCCCATCACTGCCCCCAGAATAGACCCAGGAGCCATGCTGAGGGTCATACGGTCCCCACTGAGCTCAGGGTCTGCTGCCCCTGCACGCTGCACTGTGCCTTTCCATGTAAAGATGCGTCTGGTCTTCTCCCGGGCAGTCTTATTTATTTCTGCCTCCTCAGAAATATTTGGGGGTGATTAAAAGGAAATGTTCTTATAACTGTAATGAAGTGAGGTTTGGGGGTTTTGGAATGATTGGCTGTGGCCTTGGGGGCCAGTGCTGGTTGACTTGATAACCGAGTTGATAGGCAACAGAATATTGATTTCTCTCCCCCTCCTCCCAGGAAGGTGACTCAGTGAAGGGGAGATGTTCTGAAGTTCAGGAGAGGGCTACTCGGGGAAGCCAGAAAGAAGCTGTGTGTGTGTACATGTGTGTGCTTGCGCGTGCACAGCTCTGCTGCTCCCTCCAGGGCCTATAACTCACAACCACACTCCCCCTGTCCCCTCAAGATGGGGCACACGGGTTCCCACCTCTTCAGCTGCCTTTTCCAGCGCTCATCTGGAGAAAAGTGAGGACTTTGGAGCTACACAGGCCCAAACTGAAGCCTGTGTCTGTCACCTCCTGGCTAGGTGGCCTTGTGTAAGTGGCTTTACCTTTCTTTGACTCAGTTTCCTTCTCTGTAAAGTGGGGAGAGCATACCTGCCGCATGGGGTAATTCAGAGGATTAATTGAGAATATTTCTTGGTGATAATTAATGGCAGCTCTGATTGCAGTGATGATATTAACAACTAATAATTTGTATTACTTGCTGATAGAGGAGCAGAGTGCCATGGGAGTGCCAAGGAGCAGGTGATGGATGTTGATGGAAGCAATCCTGGAAGACTTCCAAGAGAAGGGCCTTGAATGAAAGAAATGCTGACGCGTGACAGAAAGGGGGAGGGGTGGGAAACACTTTTCTGTTCCAGGAGTTCATAGGCTCAAAGGCAGGGAGGTGTGGGAACCACACACAGTAGATGGGGGACCAGCTACTGTCCAGTGTGTAGGGGAGGGGACTGGGAGGGGCGAGGTTATGGCAGAAGAGGGGCTGTTGGGCTTTGTTTGGCCAGCGACTCAGGTAAAATGGTTGATGGAGAGCTTTGTGCATCAGGACCCATTTGTTCTGTCTGAAATTCAGAAGCAATTATGATACATTGCACCTCCTCCCTTGGCTGAGTACTAATTGTGAGCCAGGCATTGTGTTAAGTGTTGACTTACACCATCTCATTGAATCTGCACTGCCCCCGTTTTACAGGTGAGAAAACTGAGGCTCTTTGTAACATTTACTGGTGCACCCGAATGTATACTCTTCTGTGTCATTCACCCCTTCCCTTGAATCACCCACAGGGCCTGGTTAGACCAGGCAAGCCTCCTCCTTTGTGGCCAAACCCACAGACTCCTCACTAGCCCACCCACCTGATGTGGGTCATATGAGTCCTTGGGCCACATAAGTTTCTCCTTTGCGGAAACCTTTTTGACACTTGACTGGGGCACATACCCCTTTCCTCAGATTCCTTGCCTAATTCAGTCAGGTGAAGATGTCATGCAGACATCACTTATAATTCTTTTCTCCATGTTCCCAGCTAAGTTCTTTTATTGCCTCGGGGAGTTCCAGGGAGCTGCAGGATTCACCTGGGCAGGGCCTGATGTCACAGCTGCGACCATATTTACGACATGCTCTCTGGCTTAGGGGAGTTTGGAGGGACGGGGGCGTCTGCATGGCAGGCAAAATGCCCATTCTTCAGGTGGGGGTCAGAGAGTACAGGGAGCAGAAAGGCCTGGGGTGGGACCTGCAAACCTCAACGAGAAAACAAATGCCTGATATTAAAACTATGTAAGAATGAAAGCAAATAAATGGTCTTATACACAAAATCCCTTTGTGCCAGGCAGCACCCAAGGCAGTGACAATGCAAAGGTGTCCAAGGCAGCTGGATCCCTGACTTTGGGGTGCTCACCTGGGCAGACACCCTGTACAAAGTCCACCCACTTCAAGTCTAAATTTAACTCCGGGAATATTTGTCAAGCACCCCCAAGGCTCACCCAGTGAAATGGAGAAGCCAGTGATTCTAGAAGTTCCCACAAGGTGAGAAATGAGGGGGAATTTATATGGGAGTAACATCTACTGTCTTTCAAACTTGCTCTCTGAGCTGGGTGCTTTCCAGCCACATTCCCTAGTGATCCTCACAGCATCGACCCATTTCACATATGGGGGAACTGAGGCAGGGAGCATTAGGTACCTGCCCACATTCAGAGGAAGTGGTCAAACCAGGATCTGAACCCAGGGCACTCGGACCTCACAACATCTTCTTTCATTTTCAAAAGGGAAAACAGGCTCGGAGAGGGGTTGGGACGTGTTTGCCTTTCAGAGGT